TGCTCTGCTCTACTAAAATCAAATCTGCTCTGCTCTGCTCAAAAGAAATCTGATCTGCTCTACTCGGCTCTGCTCTACTTAATTTTCAAATAATAATTAATAAAACAACAACAATAATAATAACAACAATAACAATAACAATAACAAACAAAAAACCCTAGCCTCCTCTCTCTCTTCTCTCTCCTAAACTCTAGCCTCCATTATCAATTTTGAAGGGGCTTCCATCGGATTTTACCGGTGGAAAGCCCCAATCTTTATTTTCTTTTAAGTTTTTTGTTTCTTAGGTTACAATAATAATGTCTCCCTCGAAAGAAAGGGTCTATCTCCTTCGAAAGACAAGGTTTTTTCGATCTCCTTCGAAAGACAAGGTTTTTCGGACTCCTTAGAAAGACAAGGTTTTATTTGTGTTTAATTTGGTCTCCGGTTGTGCGGGGCTACGATTGATTATGGCTCGAATTCGGGTTACGGAATCTAGCACAAGAATTAACTTTCTCACAAAATTGCGAAGCGACGACGGATCCACTCAAAAAGTTGTATGAGACAACGAATCGAGAATGTGCCGAATTGTTATATTTATGTATTTGGATTCTTAGCCCTTCTCCGATTAATTCTCGTTTGATTTTGTTAAATTCGTTTTCATTATTGTTAATTGTCAATTGTAGATGTCGTATGACTTTATTTAATGAAATTTAATGTTCTTTAGGACTTCTTTCAAAAAAAAAAACAATAACAATAACAACAATAACAACAAGAATAGCAATAACAACAACAATAACAATAACAATAGTAGTAATAGTAATAATAGTAGTAATAATAACAATAATAGTAGTAATAATAATAGTAGTAGTAATAATAGTAGTAATAATAATGTTGAAATCTAATCTACTCGGCTTGGCTTTGCTGCTATCCTTAAATCTGTTCTGCTCTGCAGAAATTTAATCTTCTGCTAACCCCTGCTCTACCTGCGGTGAAGCTCAAAAGAATAACGCCTAAGATTATGTATTTTTATATATATAAATTATTAATTTTTAAAAATACTACTATATAACACAAAAAGAAGTTTTTACAGTCACTTTTGTTTTCTCTTTGATTTAGAACTTCGTTCAATTCAGTCCGACATCATGGCTCTGGTAAGATTTTTTTTAACATGTTTTTTCCGCTTTTGATTGTCCAAAATAATGAATTTAATCGCCGAAAATATTTTATTTCGCTTCATCGTGATTTTTTAGTATTGCTTATTGGCTGCTTTTCGATTTGATTTTGGATCTGCAAATGTTGAGTTTTTTTGTAGTTCAGTTACAAATCATTTTGAATTTTGTCTGATTTCTGTGGATTTTATTTTGAAGTGTTGATTTGATGTTACTGATAGTATACTAATAGTGGTGTTGATGATTTATTGATTTCAATGTAATTAAATATGCGATGAAAACGATGTTTACATTTGAATTATTTGAGGGGTTTTTTTTTTTTGGTGATTTTCCTGACCTTTTCGAACTTGGCATTGCTTGATTTTGTTGATTGTAATTTTCTATCAATTTATTAAGGGTTCGTTTGACATTGCTATGGTTTTCTGTTTTTTGGTTTTTTGTTTTTTAAAAGTATATGATATATGTCCCATAATGAATCAAAAATTATTTAAACATATTAAAATTATAATAAATTTGAAAACTGACAACAGAAAAGTGAAAACACCTTTTTCTTGTTTCCTGTTTTTGGTTTTTGGTTTTCAAAAAAATAGGAAACTGAAAACCAAAAAATGATGCCAAACAAGCCATAAATTTTTTATTGAGATTTCTGTATCATCATTTGCAACTGTTGATGAGGTGTTGTTTTTGTTCAGTCGCTTAAATGCCGATCTCTACTAAGCACTGATGAGTGAGGAAATACGAGTTTATCACTGCGATAAACTTGGATTGCAAATCTAGTGAAATTATGTAAATTAGTTAAAAATCATAACCATATAGCATAACATAATGTTTCATAAAATCAACAAGTTTTCATTAAATATGATACCGACAATAGTTGATTTTAGTATGATAATGCTATGCTAAGAGGGTATTTTTGTTGACCCACTTGATTTGCACTTTTTGTCTATGTAGGTGATACTAGTAATAAGTTTGTCAATATTTGTGTTCCTAATCATTAATATCGGCGATTTCACATTTTCCCTTTATCGCGCATGATTTATACCACCAATGCATTGTCATTTGGTTGTACATGTTAGATTATTTATTAGGCATTGAAGCTTTTTCTACTTATTTTCAGGTCTTGCATACGTTCCTTCCTAATAAGAATGCCTACAAGGCTCTTATTGCTGCAGAATATAGTGGTGTGGAAGTCAATGTGGACAAAGATTTTCAGATGGGTGTTACCAACAAATCGCCTGAATTTCTTAAAATGAACCCCATCGGCAAGGTAGCCTATCAATCTTAAAGAGTATTATTTTTTTTTGCTTTGAAATGTTTTGTATAAGTTTTGAGGTAATACTTGCCTGTTTTCAGGTTCCAGTTTTGGAAACTCCCGAGGGTCCTGTATTTGAGAGTAATGCCATAGCTAGATATGGTGAGTTTGTACTGCCTCTCTCTTGATATGATCTTTATCTCACCTAGCTGTACTTTTTTTTTTTTAATTAAAGTCGTGTTTTGCAGTGACAAAGCTGAAGGCTGATAATCCTCTCTTTGGCTCTTCGCTAATTGAATATGTAAGATTGAACTTTAGCATTTGGTTTATTTATTTTCCAAATGCAATTGTGGTGCTACTTAGCATGGATATTATATGGTCATTTGATTATGTATATTTTTGTTTGTTAGGCCCACATTGAGCAGTGGATTGACTTTTCATCCACTGAGATTGATGCAAACATTGCTCGCTGGTTGTACCCTAGACTTGGTTTCAGTGTACATCTTCCTCCGGTTAGTTGACATAATTTTATTTTTAAAATGAGGTCTAGATAATTAGATATATTTATAGGCTCATTAATTAATGCAACTCTTTTGTTATTTTGAAGGTTGAGGAAGTTACTATTGCTGCATTGAAGAGGTCCCTTGAAGCGTTGAGCAAACATCTTGCTTCCAACACTTTTCTGGTCGGAGACAGTGTTACACTGGCTGATATTGTCATGACCTGTAATTTGATTTATGGATTCCAGCTAATCATGACCAAGAGCTTTACATCAGAATTCCCTCATGTCGAAAGATATGTCTGGACTATGGTTAATCAGCCAAACTTTAAGAAGGTGTTGGGTGATATAAAACAAACAGATTCTATTCCCGCTGTAGCAAAGAAACCAGCTCAAGCACAGCCTGCTAAGCCCAAGGCCAAGGAGGAGCCAAAGAAAGAGGCACCCAAGAAAGTTGAGGCACCTGCAGCAGAAGAGGAAGAGGCACCCAAGCCAAAGGCAAAGAATCCACTTGATCTTCTACCCCCTAGTAAGATGGTACTGGATGAGTGGAAGAGGCTCTACTCCAACACCAAATCCAATTTCCGTGAAGTTGCTATTAAAGGTATTGTTTTTGTGTTAAATACCTCCTTATCTTAGCTTTGAGTGGACAAGGTGGTAGCCATAATACTAAAGAGCTTGTGTCAGATGATCCCTATTTCCCTTTGCTTTTATTCTATCGTTCATTCTATAGAATCTATACCTTGTTCCTGCTTCACAGTTTCTCGTTTTAAGCTGTCAATTTATTTAGGCATTCTTGTCTAATATTATGAACTTATGTCTGCCTTCATCCCCTGAATGGCTGCCTAAGGTATTATGAGAAACTGATTCGAGCCTTAATTTGCTGTTTTGCCCCCTTCCCTCATATTCTTGTTTCTTGGGTCATGGATGGATTTCTTGAAAATTATAACCGAAGTCTGAATGGCTGGCCTTGTTTGTTGACTTTTTAATCAACGTTGGGAGTTTTACTGTAGCTGATAGTTTTGGCATGTATTTATTTGTTGTTATACACTGACAATTGTATTCATATTATCCTTTAAAATTTGTAATGTGGATTAATGTGTACTATATTTTGGAACACTGTTGAACACATTTTTCATGAATTACTTCTGTTAGAGTGTATTCCTGTCATGCGCAATAACTTTCTCATACTTATCTCCATCTTTTCGCAGGATTCTGGGATATGTATGACCCAGAGGGCTACTCTCTGTGGTTCTGTGACTACAAGTATAATGATGAGAACACTGTCTCTTTTGTGACCATGAACAAGGTTAGTGGGTTCTTGCAAAGAATGGATCTTGCTCGCAAGTATGCATTTGGAAAGATGCTGTTGATTGGATCAGAGCCCCCATACAAGATCAAGGGTTTGTGGCTCTTCCGTGGACCAGAGATCCCTCAATTTGTGCTTGATGAGTGCTACGACATGGAACTCTACGAGTGGACAAAGGTGGACATCAGTGATGAGGCTCAGAAGGAACGTGTTAGTCAAATGATTGAAGATTACGAGCCTTTTGAGGGAGAAGCTCTTCTTGACGCCAAATGCTTCAAGTGATTCTATGGTGTGCTTAATCCTAGGTAGTTGTGTAGTTTGTTGTTCTATTGGTTCATACTCGCTCCATAGTTGCTGCTACATTCCGCATAGGATTTTGTTTTAGAATTATCTTTTTTCTTGACTCTTTATTTTGAACTTTCTGTTTGGATTTCTGCTTTTAAACGATTTTGCGGAATCTTGTGATCTATTGACAAGAATATAGTGAGTTCAAATACCTTACCATGAATTCATCTGGAAATGACTAATTTATTACACACGTCTGTGTAGTTTTTTTTTAAACAGAGGTTACAAAGCTTTAAAGCAAAGCACTGACCTACCCATTACAACTGGTATATAATTTCAGTTCATGGGTAAGGAAGGACACAAACTAGTAGGCTTACAAGACTGACAAGTTCATGACACTGACCGAAGGACGAGAAACTGGATACATTGTCTGTGGTTTTGTAGTTAATGTTATATATTAGTACAATAGGTGAGCCAGATTATGGCACCAAGGAGTGCCGAAAGTAATGAACAGCTAAATTGAGTCTGTATTCTCTGTAAAGATTGTATTATCAGCTTTATGTTAGTGGCTGATCATTGTACATATAACCTGGCTATTATTCTAGAAAACAAGAGGTAACAATTGTCAGGACCTTAAAATAAACAGGTACAGTAATTATCAATCGCGTTTGCTAATTTAAAAGAGAAAGTTATATCATAACTCTTATTTTACGACCTATAAGTAAGATAATGAAGATAGAGCAATCCTTGTTGCAACAACAAACACGTTGAACCTCAAGGCAGAAGCTTCAAGTTCCATTTTTCGCCTGAACTTGTTCTGAGTTGCCTGCATTTTTTGATTCACCTGCATCAGAAATTACTACTGTCAAATCTGAAATTTTACGTTATTTTGACATGGTAAGCAATTTAACGTATCATGTTATGAGTTCTAACTCGTATGAAGTATTACAACTAAATACACACTTTTTAATAACGTTTCAGACTTAGGGGGCGTTCGGTATAGTAATTTTAGATGGAGGAAATAGATTCAATTAAGTGTTTTCATTTCTACTTGTTTGTTATGAGTTAAATGTAACAAATACCTTTCCTAAGGGTAACAAAATCCCCCAATTTATTATCCTTGACAAACTAGTGGAAACAAAATGCGTTTGCTTACTCAATCACAATCTATTTAAATTGCTGTCATTCCACTATGATACCAATTACCAACCATGTAGAAAAGGTAACATTTATCATTTACCTTTTCTCCTACTTATTTGAATCCTTTCCGTTTCATTTACAATGTTTATACCAAACACCCCCTTAAAGTATTATCGACATTTTAAACTTACCATTATATAATTACAACACAACTCTAATAAGCTACTTATGAGAAGATATGTACCTTGGGTGAAACAGCTTCTTCTCAGAATTATTAGCAAATTCAGAACAATTCTGTAGCATGTTTTCTGCAAGTAAGTGATCTCGTGGCACGAAAGGATTAACAAAATCCAAAGTCTCACTTGGCATCATGTTTAGCTGTTGGAGCCTCTCAACTTCAGCTATCTGAAATTCAAACATATATAAATGTAAGAATCGAATTAAGATTATACTCGTAAAAATCATACTTATTCTGAATTGTACCCTGCTATGACAGTATCATCTTATCCATCATGTATGTTACATCTTAGTATTAGTACTCGTATTAATATACAAATGAAAAAGAAATTAAAGAATCAGTCTCATGCCAATTTACATACATACCTTAGCTCGGAGAATCGAGTTTTCATTCTCAAGCTCTGCCTCCTACAAGATTATATGATTGAATCAGGTGTTTATAAGTAGGAAAAATACGTATTACTAAGCACATATTGAATAGTATAGCTTGTAATTTAATCTCCTCTATTACCCTTTTCTGACAAAACTCGATTTCAGCAAGTAGTGCCTCATGCTGTATTAGAAAAGTAATGCAAACAATGTTAACAAAACTTGGCACTGAGTAATAAATGCAATGTTCAATCCAATTCATGATCATGTATAAATGTTTCACCTTTTTCGATCTAATTCTTGAGATGCCTCTTTCAAGTCGATTCTCAACTTGCTTTAACTCCTTTACAGTCAAGGAACTCAAGCATTCACCCATCAGATTTCTGTACAATGGTGATATTTTTTTAGTGAATCAACCATATAAAGCGTAACATAATTAGAAGCATCTTATAAATTCACCATCGCGTTGTGATTCTTGATTATTAATTCCGGGTAGAGATCATGTTTTATTATATAAGTTTTTTAACGAGACTAAACATTTATTTACAGAAAGTTTCAGTACAAATTTTCCTTAATTTTGTGGCATTTTTCAATTCTTTGTTTATGTCAAACTCTTCCAAGTTTAATGTTTGTTACACATTTTTGTCCTTGCTTGTCTTCACCCGTTTTTTTTGTCATTCCGTTAACTAATCATATCGATCGCTACACCAGCTTAAGACATAAATTACCTAAGAAAAGACTGATCTACCAACAAACCATAGGAAGATAAAATGATGAATCATACCTGTTAGAGTTTTGCATCATCTGTATTTGGTTCCTCAACTTTGCGGATTCGTGTTGGTAATACTTCATACAACAACAAAAAATTAACACATTTGAATGGTTTGAATTGTTTTTCCAACATTCTCAATTACTATAATTAATCATGAAAATTTAAATGCACAAATTATAGATTGTACTGAGTAGTACATACACCCTTAATTATGAGCACTTGTCGCCTGAATTATGTACAAAGGGGAGTGTAACAATTAAGTATTATGGAAAGGACGGTATATATGATACTACCTCAGTTAACTTTTAGTTGCAACTTTAGAATATTTTATATCTCACAAATAATAGCCCAAAGTTGCAACTAAAAGTTAACGGAGGTAGTAAATCCAAAAATATCTCAAGTTTCTTTCTTTACGTGTTCAATATCCATGGTACATATATTAATGGCCTGTTATGATGCGATTATTTTTAGTTCACTTCAGTTCAGTTCAGTGCAGCTCTAATCAGTTCAGTTCAGTTCCTATTTTCCTTCTTTATATATAAAATATTCAGTTCAATTCAGTTCAGCTCTATTCAGTTCAGTTCAGTTCAGCTCTAATAAGTTCAATTCAGTTCAGTTCAGTTCAGTCAATGAGAACAGACCCTAAATCTTTAAAATAATACACACTCGTGGATTTGCCATACCTAAAAAAAATCTAACTGAACACAAGCTCAACTGAAATTATATCCTAAAATACATGTAATTAATTATTATCCAACTACTTATCAATATCAGGCAAGAGTAGTGTCTCAAAGTAGTGTAAGTAAGACAAACTATGAGATAGGGTAGAATATTGGAGTCCTTAGCTTATAAAACATTGGCTATTTTCCTTATTTCCATTGTATTGTTTCTTCATTAAAAAAATAGTTAAAGAATATTAGAGGAGCCATTGTTCCTCTTAAACCTCTTTAATTGTCTTAATTAATATGTAAATTCTAACCATCACAAACAATTGTTTTTGAGTTTGTAAACTAGAATTAGATTTGTAAACATAAGGGGAAAACAAATCAGGACTAATCGAGTTTAATAAGTTCGATACATAAAAGGAATGCACCCAGACTTTTTTTTTTTTCTTCTTAGATTACTTAACTTGCTTGCATTGTATCTTGCTGCCTCAAGTATACCGATTATGTGATCATAATAATATTGTACAGTAATACAAAGTACATAAAATTTGCAATTAAATGTAATTTTTTTTTATTTTCTAAGAACATGACCTAGTTCATTTTTATTTTGCATACAACAATTGTTGCAAGACATCTAAGAAAGTTGTTCAATTTTATCACATTCTTGTGTATTAGCCCAAACTCAACAATCATGTATCGCGAAAACGTACAAAAACTATCAAATTTTGCCAACAATATGATTCAAAACAGGTAGAAAAAAAATCTGAAAAACTAAGGTAACTAAACTTACTTGAGCATTAATCTCTGTAACAGTGTTTGTGCCATCTGAATTTGCCTTCTTGTATTTCTCTATTGTCGACCTTATGCTAATCGCGATTTCAGAATGACATGAAACAATTAGAGGAAAGAAATTAGATGAAGGGTTTTAATTTCATATGAACATCTCAAATCTCAACTACATTTCTCTCAAATTACCATCAACACATACACGTTTATATGTATGTACCAAAGTTAGTCAAACTCATGCATATATTTTTCTACTAACTTACTATTAACAAGCCAATGTAGATAAAATTCGACAACATTTAATTGCTTAGATATCAAATGTATATAGCGAAGTAAAATCTTGTTAGATTGAGGTTAATATGTATTTTTAAAATATCAATTTTTATCTTTAAACTATGATAGTTATATTATATGATAGCGATATAGAGTTTTGTTAGATCTAGGTTGTACATTGGAGAGAGGCCGGATAAAATAGGCCTTGTTTTTTGAGCTAAAATGAATTAAAGTAGAAAAATAAACTAAGCTAAGCTAAGCTGAACTGAACTGAAATAAAAATAAGCCCAAGGCCTTTTAGGGATATAGGATAACAAAGTGCTTCATGGTTCTTTTTTTTCTAAACTCTTTGAAAAGAAATTTTTCAATCAAGAAGGAATTTCTCATTTGTAAGAATAAATAAATAAATAGATAAAACTCTAAATTAACAACCATTCAACTTATACTTTGTTTAATTTTATACTTATCCCAATCTGGTTGATATATTTTTCTTGATGTTTCAAATCAAAAGTAGTGTCTCCTTAGTTAATGAGGTTTTTATCAATTCACAACCCCTATAAGGTAGATAGGTAATCTTTAATGAAAAAATTGGAATATAGGAAATGGCTGGTTAATTTCAAAATAAAGATTATTTAAGCTAAGGGTATTTTGTAATATTTATTTGTTTATCACCTCAAGAAAGACAAGGAGTAGTTAGTGGAAAAAAAAAAAAAAAAAAAAAAAAAAAAAAAAGCAAAGAGTGAGGAGCATCAGTGTTAATAATTATTGTGATTTGTTAAGCTAAAAGAAGAAAGAAAAATATCCAAGGAAAAAACCTTAAAACAAAGCAACAAAGAAGTAATAATATTGTAGCTTCACTGAAAGAAGCAAAGTATATGGCATGCATGTCTACCAAACCCAAAGATCAGGAAGAATAGTTAGCTAAGCTAGTTGTTCTACTTAGCACATATATAGAAGCTAAAAATATTAAACCCAAAATCATTGCATCAAATTAATAATTGGTACGAAGGATAAAGATTATATGGTCAATTCTGTTTTGGTGAAATTTGGTTGTCACTTCACTTCACTTCACTTAGGCGTTGTCACTTTTATTCATTTCTTTTTACTTGAATTGTCATGTTATATGGCTCTTTAGTTTTGTTCACTACGTACAATATAAGCTTGTTCGAATTTCTAACTTTTGATTATTGGTATTGGCATTACACTTGCAGTCATACCTCATACACTGGCCGACTTCAATGAATTTAACTATCAAAACTAAATTACAGCTTTGACAATTAGTATCTGTTTGGGTCCAATTTAGTCCAATTGGGCCTGGTCACTGAATGATCCAATTAAAAGCCCAAGGTTAAGGTTCAACTCTCCAAATGTGCTAAAGTCAAAAATCAAACATCCTCAAAGCCATGTCAAGGTCAGTCAACGGCCCAATCAGCTTGGCCCAGCCCAACTGACTTCCGGGCCCAATCCGCCTCCTTCATTAGCCAAGGTATAAAAGCCAACAATTTGGTCAATTCTTGGTAAGACAATAAAGCCTCAAGCAACTAAACTCTTGCACAGCTTTCTCTCTCTAATATACTGACTTAAGCATCGGAGGGGCCTTCCTCGGCGTCCCCCCCGAGGCTAGTTTACGTGTATTTGTTGTGCAGGAAACCCTCGGCTCCTGCGTCGTTCGGACCGAGACCAAGTTCCCTCAAGATAAAAGGATCTTCCGAGATTCGATTGTTTTCATCCGAAACAATTTGGCGCCGTCTGTGGGGAACGCTACTAAATTTCGCGTCAGTCATCAAACACTCCGGCAGTCGCCATGACTAAGAGTGGAAAGAGTTCCAAGAAGGCTAAGAAGGGAGGAGGCCGGATTACGGTGAGGGAACGCCAGCCGGTTTATCCCTCCCTGGAGCAAGCCTCTTCCGAATCGGAGGCCCCCATTTCTCCGGAAAGGGAAGCCTCAAGAGGTCCTAGCCTCCAGGAGGAGAACACCTCGCACCACACTCGGCAGCCGGGGCCATCCCCGAGACCGAGTGGCTCAGGTGCGAGGAACTCCCCGCCGCGCCATAGCGTGCAATCCAGGTCACATCCGCGGGAGACTCCTCCCTCCGGACCCTCCACCGAGGAAGTGGCCAGAGCAGTGGCCATCTGCATGGAGTTCCTTAAAGCTCAAGGGGCTCCAATCCAGATGCCTGATGATCACCAGCCGAGAAACCTGAAAAGGAGGATCGGTCAGGATGATGGTGGACAAGTTCCACCACATAGAGAGCTCGGCCAGAGGTGGCGAGGGGACACCCGAAACTCCAGTAAGGAGAGGAGGAGGAACCCTCAACCCTCTGACCACTCTGAAGCTCAGAATTCCATGGGGCCCTCCAAGGACCCGGAATTCGCCCGCCAAAGCGTTCACGAACGCTTGGGTTCGAGGGAGGTGAGTGTGCATAGCCGCCTCACCTTCCCAGAGGATACCGGACCCCACCCAACCTTGTCTCAGCCGGGGACGAAAACCACTTCCACCTCTGAGAGAGGAGGGAGCGAGGTCCCTGAGGCCGGGTACAAGGGGAAGGCGGTCATGGTTCCATCGAACTCGCCCTTCCAGAAGTGGATTCTGGAAGAGCATGTGCCAACGGTCAAAATCCCGGCACATATTACTTACGATGGTACCTCAGATCCTAAGGATCACATTGCCTCTTACGAGGGGCACATGTATCTGAACCCGAGGTCTGAGGCTACCTGGTGTAAATACTTTCCTACGACCCTCAAAGGTGTTGCCCAATCCTGGATCACCAAAGGGCTCAAGGAAGGCTCCATAACCGGTTGGAACGACCTCTCCAACAAGTTCAAGAGCAAATTCTCTACGGCCAACCGCCGAGAGAAGACCACTGCAGAGCTAATGAGTCTGCAGCAGGCGGAGGACGAGAGCCTCCGCGACTATCTGACTCGCTTCAGCAACGAGTCATCCGGAATCACAAGCCTGGATCAAGGCCTGGCCGTGTTCGCGCTACGGAACGGCCTCCAAGCTGGAAAGTTCCTGGACTTCATGGTCATGCATCCCCCGCAGACCCTGGAGGAAGCCTTGGAAGCATCGGATAGGTTCATCCGAGCCGAGGAGTGGAACAGATCCAGGTCTCAGTCTCGTCCGAGAATTGAGAAGCCGAAAGGGCAGCAGCCCGAAGTCTCGGCGCAGAGGAAAGGGAAGGCTAAGGCCTCAGAACCGTCCTCTGCTGCCGAGCCGAAGAAGGAAAGACACTTTCCCTACACGGGAAGGTACGATTCATACACTCCACTCTCCCTTCCCCGTGCTAAGATTTTCAGCACGACGAAGGACGAGGGGAGATTCAAAAAACCTCGTCCGTTGCCTCCCTGGCATCAGACGAGGGGAAAGGACCAGTGGTGCGAGTTCCATGACTCACCCGGACATCGCACCGAGGACTGCGTCCAGCTGAAGGACCAGATTGAGGATCTGGTCCGCAAGGGGTACCTGAGCCAATACCTCGCGGACAGGCGCGAGGAGAAAAAAGCTGAAAAAGATTCTCGGCAGGACCTCAACTTCGCTCGGAAGAAGGATAAGGGACCTCAGGGCAAGGAGTCCCTCGACATCCTAGTTATTTCCGGGGGAATCTCGCGAGGCACAGCCAAACGCCAACTGAGGGGTCTAACCCATCAGATTCATCAGGCTGAGCTTCGGCAGTCCCAGTCACCGGCGCCGAACATCCTGTTCACAGCCGAAGACTGTGAGGGGGTGGTATACCCCCACGATGACCCACTAGTAATCATTCTGGGCATCGCCAACCGCAACGTCTGGCGGACCCTCGTCGACGGCGGTAGCGGGGCGAACATCCTCTTCCGAGGAGCGTTCGACCAGCTGAGGATGGGAGCCGAGCACCTGGCCCCCGCACCCTACCCGGTGTCTGGATTCAACGGCTCTTCCTCGTATCCTGACGGGAAGATTACACTTCCTGTCACCATCGGCGAAGGCCGAGCAGCTAGGAATATCATGGCCGAATTTTTGGTCGTAGATGCTCCATCTGCATACAACGTGATCATGGGGAGACCCCTCATTCACGGCATTCAAGGAGTCGTCTCCACGTATCATCAAATCATGATATACGTTTCAGACGAGGGACGCTCCGAGAAAATAAAGGGCAGTCAAAAAGAAGCCCGCCGATGCAATCACCTCAAGCCATCCACGTCTCGCCGAGGCGACCGTGGCGATGGGGAGGAAAAGCACCGGGACCGAAACGCCAAAAAGCCGAGAGGCTCAGACGTTTCGGCTAATGAAGCCCCAGACAACGAGAAATCTGATGGGGGCCAAAAGGCTGACTCCGCCTCAGAGCCGAACGACTCTGATGGCCAGCCGCGGTCAGGAAAGTCTGCTAATATTGATAGCAGGCCGGAATTCGAGGAATCCAACTCTAAGAGCATGGAGACGGATGACCTGACCGAGTCAATAGAACTGACCGTAGGAGATCCGAACAGATGTGTTAGCATCGGGTCGTCACTGGAGCCAAACACCCGTGCGGCACTCGTCCAACTCCTACGGGCCAGTGGAGACGTGTTCGCCTTCTCAGCCGCAGAAATGCCCGGGATTGATCCGGACTTCGTCTCCCATAGGCTTAATGTCGACCCCTCCAGTCGACCCATTAAGCAGAAAAAGCGGAACTACTCCGCCGAAAAGAACCAGAACATCGCAGCTGAGGTCGATAAGCTCCTAGATGCTGGGTTCATTGAACCCTGTCAGTATCCGGAGTGGCTGGCCAATGTTGTAATGGTTCAGAAGGCAAATGGTAACTGGAGGATGTGCGTTGACTTCACGGACCTGAAT